CACAACCAAAAAAATAATGGAAACGATGGGTTTTTCCAACATAAAGTGTTGTACTAATCTATTAAAATAGTAATTTAAAAGTAACACATTTGGGGAAGGCCAGTGAGGTGGAGGTAAACCCACTAAACCGGCAGGTCTTAAACCTCCATGACCAGGTTCAACCTCTTTGTCTTGAGACCAGAAAACCAGCAGGAAGCCATGAGGGTAAAACAACAAGAAGATTCACAAATTTTTAGCCCATTGTTTGACAAGATGACAATTTACCTGCCAAAAGGATAAAATTTAACAGGAAGAGGAAAACGAACCTGACCCATCTTTTTTTTTTTCGCTTCTTTTTCCTGACGGGTTTTAACTCTTTTTCGTATTCCCATTGCTCTATCGCTCTCTCCACAGCAGGAGGAGCAGACCAGTAATGATTCACAATAACAATGTGCTGAGATTTGGAACAGGACAAGGAAAGGACAGGTACATCTTTACTTGGGGGCAAGACTACGTATGTGCCCCCACATATAGATTGGCCATGGAGAAATGAGAATCGATCAAATGCAATGAACATTGCATATGCCTTTATCTTCTCCAACAAGAACGGATCATCACATTGCCCCCTCCCTTTTTCTTTTCGTTTTTCTTTAAAACCTTCACTGATAACGAAAACATGAGTTTTCCTCACGCCATCACATATGAAACAAAACACTTTTCTCTTCTCTGTCTACAGTTGACGTACACTTCACACAACTGGGTAAATATGATGCAGAAAAATGTTTATTCTATCTGGTCTGGACCTCGTGGTCCTCTCTTTGTCCTTGTTTCTATCTTTATATGTAAGTTTAAACTTAAAGATTGTGATAGAATCTAATCACAAACGAGCTCTTATAAGAGTTAATTTGTCCTTACAAAACATTTATATATATATATATATATATATTGAAATGATTATATTCAGATGCTAAGTCTAATTAACCTGAAAAAGAGTAAAAACCTGGCGAGGAAAAACCAAGACGCATCTCTGTTTTTTTTTTGAAAAGTAGAATTCATTCATAAAGGAACAAAGCTACAGCCAAAAGGAAGAGAATAGCCTCCAGGAAAAGCTGTACAGACACAAAAATCAGATCTGCAGCAACAAAACCAACCCCTGCCTTCCCCAGAAAAGCAGCATCTCTGTTGACTACAAGTGATTGAGCCATGATTAGCTAATCGAATGGAAAAATAAATGCGGGCAATTCCTGGCGCAGGTTAGCCCCAGCTAAAGGTGCACCAATCCACTAAAGAGAATAAAGAGTGACCTAGGAAATGGACCCAACACTGTTTCCCACCATCGGAGACCAAACATGACACACTTGGGTGGATAATGCGTCCTATCAAATTTACCCCAAAACCACTGATAATCCACCATCTTCCTCTGATAGTGCCTAATGCATGCGCACGTTAGCGCACACTAGTTCTGTAGCTGCTCACATTGCTTTCCAATGATGGCCGTGGCTTCATTTTTAGGGAAAATGTTCTCCTAGATGCTGCGAATTTCTAGATTGAAGCGAAGGACATTGATGGGTGTGACTAAATCCTGATGGACCAAATTATCTTGATATATGCTTGATGATTGACACAAATTCTCTTTGGAGAAAAGGAAAATCCGAAATGCTTTGGCTTGGTATTGAAACTATATATGGTGCATAGCATAATGAGGCTCAAGGAAAATAAAGTATCCCACTATGGATGGATGGAGTAGGATTAGATTCACCATTTAAGATTCCTTGAGAACCTGTCTAAAGTCCAGACCATTCTTTTTATGCCAATCGTACATGGAATTCCCCTTTGCATTAAAACTCACCCTTGAAAAATTCATCTTAATTTTTGCCTTTTAGCAAAATTTACCAATATTTTTTTTGTAATTTTATTTTCTTTTCAAATAGCATTCTAGGACTTCTTTTTTTTCCCCATTAGCACTTTATGAATATTGTTTTACGTCTTTAAAAAAGTTTTATCCATATTTTTACAATTTAAATTTTTCTCAAATAACTGTAAAGTTTTTTTTTTCAATTAACATGTGTGAATAATTTTTGTTTTAAAAAAAACTAGATTATTGATTTTGGGTATTAAAATTATAAAAATATATTTAAATTTGAACAAATACGCTAACTTTGAACCGATAGTTTTTTGGTAATTTATGGGATAAAATTAATAACCTAATTCTTTACAAGAATATAAATTATACATAAAATATTATTAAAGAAACCTACATGTGCTAATTAAAAAAATTATAAAATGTTGTGTACAATAAATTAAAATTAAAATAATAAAAAGTGTAAGTAGCATTTAAACATTCTTTTACTTTTTAAACAATTTCAATCTTCATCCTACACGTGTTTGAGTTGGTCGTCTAGGCTTGAAAATGGAAAATCCATACAATTTTATTAATTTCCCCAAATTTAAACCAAGACCGAAAGAACTTGGAAGTTTTCAAACTGTTGCACCTGTTTAATATAATGGCTGGCTGCTAACGTACACGTTAGATGCAAGAATTTCCCATAATTTCTAACATTCTCGAAGACTTCATTATTGTGTTTGGAATGGAAACCATATTTTTCTAAGATGGACACCGCTGCTATCTGCGTCACTTTACATCATAACATAAATAAATAAATAAATAAATATGTTTTTCATTTAATTTTGATTTTTTTTGCCTTTTTTTCCACATCTTGAGTTTGACAGGTTCATTATCTCACACCTTTTTTTTTAATATTCTTAAAATATTTAAAAAATATAAAAATCTCAAAAATTTTCTCTGTTAGGCTAAATAATATTCAAGGGTTATATTTTTTATCATAAAATTTTTGCCAAACTATCATGTTATATGATAATAGATTAATCGGAATATATATTCATAAATGATATAAAAATAATAACTATATTTTTGTAAATATTTATAATTATTTTAAAATAATAATTGTTATCATGATTATATGCGTTATCACAAGTCAAAACTTAAACTTAATATTGTGCAACCCTATCTTTGGAAATAGAGTTTAAATAAGTTTATAAATTACAGACTTACATCTTCAATTCAAAAGACATACTTGATAGGTGATGAAAGACTTATATTTATAAATTTAAGATCTATCTCATCTATTATTTATGTGATATATGTGACACACGTAATCTTATCGAATGCAATAATTTAAAATGTAAAACCTAATAGTATTTTCTATTAATCTGGATATCTTAACATATTATTTTTCTTTTAAAAAAAATAAAAAACTTAAAATAATTATTTTCTAGCGATAAAACTTTCACAAAATTTTGAGTTAGAAGCAAGATCATGTTATTTATTTGATAGTTGAATAATTTGAATATATATTTATAAATAATATAAAAATAATAAATATTTTTTTGAATATTGATTATTCTTTTTAAAATAATGATTATTATTATGATTAATGTATTAATTTTAAATGCATATTACTATGAATTTCAATGTCTTAGCATACTATTTTGCTTGTGAAGGAATACAAACTCAAGATAATTTTTTTTAAACCACATATCGTTAAAGCAAAACATCTCATGTTTGGCATTTTTTTCCAATTTATTTGATGTTTTACCAAAAAAAACAATCAAACAAATTTGAGGTGAACCGAATTTCAACTTTGATGAGATAAGATAACTTGTCATGATGAAAGAAAGAAATTTGTTCGAAAATTAAGATTAAAGTTTTAATTTTAATATATCTTATATTAAAATTTTAAAATCTTATTATATTGATGTTAAATACTTTTTTAATATGAAAGAAAAAATATTAAATATCTCATGAAGAATTTATTTACGGATATTTAAAAAAAAGAAAGATTTAAGAAAAAAAAGGATGGAAGGAATAGTAAGTAAAGTAAGCATGGACATTTCCCACCAAAATGAATTGACATAGAGAAAAAATTAAATCTTTCTAAATTTGACAATTTAAAAAATCCATCTTACTAAAAAAGGCTCTGAATTTCATGATTTGCATTACCCAACAGTTTCTTAAATAAACAAGTCACCCAAAAATCATCTACCTTCGTGCTTAATGACGAAAATACCCTCAAATTGTAACATTCTACGCATGCTATTGGCCCTTTTCTCCGAACTTCCGTGATCGAATCCCTAGACAAACAAAACCGGTTTTGAGTTTTAACAGTGGAGCTAGCGAGGTTTGACTTTGATATTTCGCATTCTGTAGCGTGGGTGAAATTCAAAATTAATATAATTATATTATATTATAATTTGTAATATTATTAAAAATATATTTATTTGTAATATTATTATTTTATTGAACATATTGTATAATATTATAATTTGTTTTGGTACTTTATTAAAACTATTTTATGATGATATAATTTATTTTTTATTTTATTAAAAATATTTCATAATGTAATAATTTGTCTTTTTATGTATAAATTTTGAAAGATTTTTTCTATTTTTTTCAATAATAATAGTGATTGCAAATAAAATTTATATTATTTTTAAAAATTAAAATAAAATATATACTATTTAAAATTATAAAAATAATATTATATAAAAATTAATAAAAATATAAATATATTAAATTTATATTTTAATAAATAAATATAATTTTAAAAATTAATATTTTATTTTTAATAAAATATTTATAAATTAAATATTATAATATTATTTTATATTTTAATTATTATTTCATTTATATATTAAACACTAAATATTTTTTTTTATAAAATATATTGCACTACGTCCATTTCTAACAATAATCTGTAAAAAACATCCACCGCCGAAGGCCCGACGATTTCATCCTGCTTTTCAGAAATTAACACGTGTAATAGCTTAGTGGATCAAGATGAATCCACCGTTAATAATAGCGTTCGTGGCAATCAGATTGTGCTGCCACGTGTAATCCGATTAAGATTATTTCAAGTTGATGTGGTGATGTAGAATATCAAAGCCCATAAAACATGACTTCATTGACTCTCTCCACGCTATGAAGCTTCTCTCTCTCCCTTTTTTTTTTTAAATTTCCTCGCTCTCTATTACCATTGTGGTGTGGAGCCCAAAACTGGACCTTTGCTTTGCTGGCTTCAAGCTCTCCATTGTTGGTCTTTTGTGGGTCTTGTCTGCTGAGAATTAGAGGGAGAAACAAGAGAGAAGAGCAAGATAGAAAGGAGAGAGAGAGAGTTTTTATAAGTTGTTGGGGCCAAAGCCAAAATCTTTCACATAAAAAGCCCTCTCCTTTTGTAGAAGAAATAAAGAAAAAAAAATCTCATTCCATTTCTCTCTTGTGTGCTTTCCTCCGTCTTCTTCAATTATCTCATCACTAGTTGAAGCCAGCTAAATCAAAAACCAAATCCCAACCTTTGTTTTTTCTCTTGCTGTGATTTTATTGATCCATAGATCTGCTAATTCCAATTTCATGCCCAGATGAAGTTTTTCCCTTTCCTATGTCCAGATCCTCCTTTTCAATTATAAACCAAAGGGGTCAAATAGAAAGGTAAGCTTCTTCTTCTTCTTCTTCTTCTTCTTTTAATATTTAGTATGGGAAATACAAGTTGAATTATGATGCTTATTGGGACTAAAGGGATGTGTGAAACCGGGCTGTTTAAAGTTCTCAATGTGAAACATTAGACCTTCTGGATTTCCTAATGGTAGACCGACTACTTTGTTAGAAAAAAAGAAACAAAAAGTGAGCTTTGACCAATTCCGTTGTTTTCACAAACCCTTCCCTTGTATTTTGTTGATTTTTTCAGCATAAGGAGCTAGTACGGTTGTGGCCTTCCTGTTTAAAGAGGGAACAGTTTCTGTTGTTTGAGCTTAAGTTTAATAACTAAACAAACTGAGAGAGGTGGCTTCTACTACATCATTTATTTGATCTGACAGTTATTCATTTTATAGTTATCAAATTTATTGTACTCTCTAATTGATGCTGTTAATTGCCCCTTGAGGAGTAGTGGAACATATAATTTGTAGTTGTCGTTTTCTTGGTTTAGTTGCTTTTGAGCCTTTATCGCACATTGCGCTATTGCTAATCTTTTGGTGTGCTTTGTTGCTGATATCTGTATAGTGTACAATTATTGTGTTGAGAAGCGAAGGAGGACACGGTTCACTGTTCAGGCTTCTAGCGTATAGTTTGTATTCAGTGGTTGTTTAGATGTGGAGAATTCGGAGGGTTTTTTGGATGAGATGAGGGATGTTATCTGGGTTGATGAACTTTTTGAGGGCCTGTTTTCGGCCAAGGTCAGATCGATACGTTCACACAAGTTCGGATGCTGGAGGTCGCCAAGATGGGCTTTTGTGGTACAAGGACACAGGGCAGCACTTTAATGGTGAGTTCTCAATGGCAGTGGTTCAGGCCAACAATTTACTTGAGGACCAGAGCCAGCTTGAGTCCGGTTGTTTGAGTTCACATGAGTCAGGTCCATATGGTACTTTTATTGGCGTATATGATGGGCATGGGGGCCCAGAGACTTCACGCTACATCAATGATCATCTCTTTCAACATCTCAAGAGTAAGTACTTTTGCCTTTGCTAGGGTTTAGTTTTTGTTGCCATCTATTTACTGATTAAGGAAGCAGAGGAAAGAAGTATTAAATAAGCAGTTGTTTTGGATATAATTAATTGATTAAAAGTAATTAGTGTACTGAACTTGTTGCAGCCACAGTTAAGGGTTTGTTGTTTTGAGTTCAAAAAGTTATCAGTTCCTTTGTATCAGTTTTGTCGTTTTGTGTGTTAATTCCAATTGGTAGCTGTAGAGCCTGGTATAAAATACTAAAAGAAAGAAATAAATAAAATTGCTAAAATAAGAGATATCTCTAGTTGTTCTTTCTTTCCTTCATGCACTTTGGCATTGGTGGTGTTTGTTATTCTGAAATATTTTCTATGTTCAGGGTTCACTTCAGAGCAACAGACAATGTCAGTTGACGTGATACGAAAAGCATATCAAGCAACAGAAGAAGGTTTTTTGTCTCTCGTTACCAAACAGTGGCCTATGAAACCACAAATCGCAGCTGTTGGATCCTGCTGCCTGGTTGGTGTTATCTGTGGTGGAATCCTTTATGTTGCCAACCTGGGTGATTCGCGTGCTGTTTTGGGGAGAGCTGTGAAGGCAACAGGAGACGTACTAGCTGTTCAGCTGTCGGCTGAACATAATGTCTGCATAGAGTCTGTAAGGCAGGAGATGCAGTCATTGCACCCTGATGACCCACAAATTGTAGTTTTGAAGTACAATGTATGGCGTGTAAAAGGTCTCATACAGGTAAGTTTCACTATGCAAACAATTTTTAATTTTAATAGTTTATTTTAATTGGGATTTAATTTTTTTTTCTGGGTTTTAAGTGGGATTTCCTTTCCTTGTTTCTTTGATCCTGTCTTGCTACCTTTGTTCCAAAAGTTAAAACATCTGTAACTTATTGTCCATAATCTTCTTCCTTGGGCCTTATTTGTTAATCTTTGCCATTTTATTATGCAGAATAATCCCTTTCTGTCTAGTTTAGTTAACTGCATGGGTTATTGACTTGTAATTACCAGTAAAATTTGTACCTAGTCTTGGCATACCAGAAGAGAATTTACAATGCTTCACCAACTGAAACTTGTTTGGAATTCCTTTCAATCTTTAATGTTCTTGGCTTTTGTCATTGTTCCTGTGGACGTTTGCTATGTCACAGTTCATGTTTCTTTGTCATCCTCTCTGGGCCAGGATGTTAAATATCAAACCTTGCAATCATTTCTCTTTGCTTGCTAAAGCTGGAAATTTCTTGAGTCTTTATGCTCTGCTTTTGTGACATGACAAGCATATGCTATGGCTTACAAAACAGAAAAATTATTATGAATATATCCTCTACTATAAGCTGTATTGATCAATGTTAGACATTCATCTCAAATAAACTAATCATTGACTCTACTCATTTTTGTGCAGAGAACTCAACTAAACTCATCCATGCTATTACATGGCATCGGTCCACATTGTCTAAACCTCCAAAATGAATTGATGTAGAGAAAAAAAAAATCTTTCTAAATTTGACAACTTAAAAAATCCATCTTGCTAGAAAAGGCTCTGAATTTCATGAATTGCTTTACCCAACAGTTTGTTAAACAATCAAGCCACCTAAAAATCATCCACCCTCATGCTTAATGACGAAAATACCCTCAGAATGTAACATTCTAGACATGCTATTGGCCCTTTTCTCCGAACTCCCCTGATCGAATCCATAGACAAGCAAAAACAGGTTGGGTTTTAACAGTGAAGCCATCGAGGTCTGACGCTGTTACTCCGTTTCTAACAGTAACCTGTAATAACGACCACCGCATAGGCATGAGAAGTAAAATGAATCTGATGGCACCTTGCATTACTCAGGCTAATTATAACCTGCAAGTTCATGTGGAATTGTCTGTTGTTCTGGCATCCCTTTATTCATTTATGGACCAAACAGGAACCTTCTTTTCCATACCACACCACCCAGAGCTCTAAATCCTTGCAAAATATGGTGCTATTGCCAAAATCCCAGTTTAGAGAGAGAGAGAGGGGCAGCCTAAAACTTTCAAAGGGACAGATTTGTCCATGTAGCAGTAAATGACACTGACAGACAAGCTTAAACCTTCTGCTTTTGTAAATTCCTCCACTTAACAACTCATTAAAGACCTTAAACATGTGGTAGGTAACACAACTATACTCCCGTTATTAGAGACTACAGAGAATTGCAAGGCAGGAAGGAGCAGTTAAAAAAAAAAACAAGGATACCTAAGGAAAAGACATAACTCTCTCTCTCTCTGGGGTTGTTGCGATGGTCTGGTCGCTGTCCTTTTACTACTAATGAACTATAGTGCATTTGACTCCTCTTTAACTCACAAGACTGCCCAATGGACATATCTGCTTCAAAAATCTGTCCTAAATTTGGCGGAAATATTTTTTTAATCTTTTTATTGCACTGAAAAGGATATAGTGGGTGCTTGCAATTGTTGCACACCAATTTTATAGTGTAAAAATACTAAACACTAGAGCTGTCCCTGCTCTCTCCTTCTCGAGCCCCTACCTTTTTTACCTTACCATTTAGTCTCTTTCCTGGCCTTTACTCTGTCATCTACTGCTCTACTTACTCTTTCTCTCATTTCACTCTTCATGATATTTAGTTTGTCTACTAATCTCAAACTAATTATAGTGTTTTAACAGATAATTATCAACATTTCAGCACAGGAAAAGAATTTTTTCCCCTCTCTAGAAATAAAGGTAAAAAGACAATAGGAGGAGGAACCACCTCCGTAGAATTCTTTTCGTATGTGGGTGCATGGTGCCAAGAGATGAAATGGGAAAATATAAAACTTCTGCAGGAGCTAGGTTTCAGGAAGGAAACCAATTTTTTTTTCTTATCAAAAGATGAAGTGGTTTATTCTAAAAATTTCCCAAAAGCTACATTTTCCTTCTTTGCTTCTCTCAAACCTTTGCAAAATCTAACTCATTCTTCCATTTTGTTACAACCCCACCTCCTTTTTATCAGAAAAGAATACTTATCGATTCCTCCAAAAGATCACTTTTGTTTACTTTACCCTAGCCCCATATATTCAAAAGCAGTAGCTTCTACGCCTGTTGAAACCAGAGAAAACACCTCCAGGCTTTAGCAAGAGAGATGGGCTGTGTTGCTTCTAGACTAGAGGATGTGTCAATCTGTAGAGAAAGAAAACGCCTTATAAAGCTAACAGTAGATAGAAGATATGCACTTGCAGAAGCACATTGTAGGTACTGTCAAGCTCTTTATGCAGTGGCAGCTGCTATTAAGCTCTTTGTAGCTCACCATTCGTCACCTTCTTCACCTTTCCTCATCACTTTTCCTCCACCTTGTCCACCTACACCTTCAGCTACAGACCAAAATGTTATAATCAACCCAATGTTCCTTTAACAAAGACCTTAAGAGTCAACTCATAAAGCCATTGCTTGCGAGTCTTGTGATTCTTGAACAAGCTCAGGTACTTTGGAGGAAGAGACTAAAGAAGAGGTTGTAAGAGGAGAAGAAGAAGAACAACCTTGTGGGTACTTTTATATGCAAATGCCACCGCCAATGCCATTACCACAAGGAGATTTAGGTTGGGACTTTTTTAATCCATTTGATGTTGTTAGACCAGAGATTATAAGTGGATATAACAGGTGTTCTGATGATGATTTAAGAGCGGTGAGAGAAGACGAAGGGATACCAGAGCTAGAAGAGGTAGGAGATAGCAAAGAGGAAGAGAAAAAAGGCTGTCTTTGTTACAGAAAAAGATAACTAGCTGCGGGGAGCATGAAGAGAGTGAGAATGGTCTGATCAAAGTAAAGGAGGAGACTCATGTGAGCCAAGGAGAGCAGAAGGGGCTTACAGTTATTGACAGCCCAGAAAAGGGGAGGGAGCTTTTAGAAGCCTTGAAGGATATTAAGGATCTTTTCATTAGGGCTTACTATTCAGGGAAGGATGTCTCAAGAATGCTAGAGGCTAATACGGTTCATTTGCAATCTGGTTTGGAGGAAATCAAAGGTGGTTGCTTTTCTTTTTGCCCCTTGACACATTTTGAGCCTCACTAGTGTTCTGTCTTTATTCGCAACATTCTCTCTGCTTTTTAATCTCCACCAAGCTGGTTTTGAAGAATATTTAGGTGGGTTTATTTTGTTCTACGAAAATTGTTAATTTGCCTTTGAAGTTATCTTCTGCTTGAAATTTGTGGATTATATGAGAAAAAAGAGGAGGACAATGTGGCCACAAGGAATTTCTCTTGTATGGTCTCAGGCTAGCTTTGCATGAGCCTTGGTTTTGAATTTAAGCCAGCTTTTCTCCAAGGTTTAGGACATAATATTTTTTTAATTGGGATTTAATTTTTTTTTCTGGGTTTTAAGTGGGATTTCCTTTCCTTGTTTCTTTTGATCCTTGTCTTGCTACCTTTGTTCCAAAAGTTAAAACATCTGTAACTTATTGTCCATAATCTTCTTCCTTGGGCCTTATTCTGTTAATCTTTGCCATTTATTTATGCAGAATAATCCCCTTTCATGTCTAGTTTTAGTTAACTGCATGGGTTATTGACTTGTAATTACCAGTAAAATTTGTTTACCTAGTCTTGGCATACCAGAAGAGAATTTACAATGCTTTTTCCACCAACTGAAACTTGTTTGAATTTCCTTTCAATTTCTTAATGTTCTTTGGCTTTTGTCATTGTTCCTGTGGACGTTTGCTATGTCACAGTTCATGTTTCTTTGTCATCCTCTCTGGGCCAAGATGTTAAATATCAAACCTTGCAATCATTTCTTTTTGCTTACAAAAGCTGGAAATTTCTGAGTCTTTATTCTCTGCTTTTGCACATGCGTGTCTAACATTCAGTTATTCCATTGTTATGATTACCCCGCAAAATTCGCCCTTTATCCTCCTGCTATACTTTTCTATTTTGTGACATCACAAGTATATGCTATAACTTACCAAACAGGAAAATTACTATAAATATATCCTCTACTTGGAGCTGAATTTGATCAATGTTAAACATTCATCTCATATAAAGTAATCATTCACTCTGTTCTTTTTTGTGCAGAGAACTCAACTAAACTTATCCAGGCTATTACATGGCATCGGTCCACATTGTCTAAGCCTCCAACTTGCAAGAGTCTTGTGGCTTCCAGTTCGAAAGGTTCTTCGGTATGGACTGAATATAAGAATGATCTTTTTGATGAATATGGAGGAATGGATTCAGGAAGCCATTCGCTAACACTAGGAAGACTCTATGCATGGGAAAAGAAGCTTTATGAAGAGGTTAAGGTAAACCATTGCCTATCAATATTGTTTTTGCAACGTTAATGAGCAGATAATAACAACTTTGGTTTACTCTTTTCAAGTTGGTAATGGTGGATTCTGGCTTACAAATCAGATTCATGTAAAGCTACCCTATTATACTTCCACCTCTTATTTCCATCATGGTGTTGAGAACTAGCCCTGAATATAACATCACAATCACAATATCGAGAACTAGTTCTGTATAAGACTTTCTGATGAATTAACTATATAAATAAAATGAGCTGTAAGTATAGAAAATGGGCTCCAAATAAAAGAACTCTTGCTTTATATGACAGGCTGTAAATATTATCAAACTAGTTAAACCATTATGTAGCAATGGTGTTGAAAGACACTTCTAACTGGTGAGTCTAGAAGGAATTCTTGGTTCCAAATTCCGAAAGGATAGAATGTTGGTGTCCTACCCCGCATATGCTCGTGTCACTTAAGTTCTGCACCAAATAAAACTGCGAAAGATTCAGAAAAGAGATGGCCAACTTTTTCTTTGCTTATATTGTTGATCTTTTGTTTCTACTTATCTGTCTTGGCATTTGACATGTTAACTTACAATAGGCTGGAGACTGCACACGGAAAATCTACGAGAGAAAATGTTCTCGACTGAGAAACCAGGATGTGAAGGGATATGATGAGCTAGCCATGGACAAAACCAGAGCTGCAGTAAAGGATTTATATGCTAGGATCTTGATTGCAATTCGAAGTGCTGAATCCATCTCGAAGAGAATTCAGAAATTAAGAGATGAAGAACTACAGCCTCAAATTATTGAACTGTTAAAAGGGTAGGTCCTAATCTTCAAAATCCAGCAGACTGCCTTGTTCATTTTCTTCTGCAATTCCCTTGGAATTTGATTCTACTTTTATTTTCTGCAGCCTAACACGAAGCTGGAAAGTTATGCTTGAATCCCACGAAACCCAAAACAAGATCCTTTTGGAAGTGAAATCTTTTGCCTGCCCCACATATGGAAAATTCTGCAATGATTCTCACCGACTTGCTACGCTTCAGCTCGAGGCTGAGCTTCAAAATTGGCGTGCTTGCTTTAAAGAGTATGTTGCAGCTCAAAGAGCATACATTGAAGCTCTTCATGGTTGGCTAACCAAGTTCCTGGTCCCTGAAGTTGAATTCTATTCCAGAGGACGGAGTTCTGCTGCGCCATATGGAGCTAACGGACCTCCACTTCTTGTGATATTCTATCATTGGTTAAGTTCCATGGAGGAGTTGCCAGATAAGGCAGTCACCTTCTCATTGAAATGCTTCTCCAAGGATGTAAGGGCTCTGTGGGCTCAGCAAGGGGAGGAACAGCAACAGAAGAGGAAAGTCGATGGTATGGCAAAAGAACTAGACAGAAGGACTATGGCATTCCAGAAGGCAGAAACCAGGTTTCTGGAGTCCAAGCTTACAGATCATAAATCCGAACCAGAGATGGAACAGCGGAATGAATATCTGACAGAGAAGAAGGATCAGTTGGATATGTTCGGAAAGAGGTTGGATGTGGAAAGGGAGAAACACCACAAACACATGCAAGAAACACAAAGAATCATCTTAAATGGATTTCAGACAGGATTTTCTGCTGTTTTTGAGTCCTTAATCGGATTCTCCAGCGCTTCTTTAAAGATGTACAATGACCTCATCACTCGAAGTGAAAACGCTGAAAAAGATGGGAACCTATCATATATAGAGGGCTCCCAGGTTGAGGAAAACGGCAGCAGATGACAGAAAGTGAACAAAGAGTTTTAAGAATCTGAGGTTAATGGTTTCTGCCTTTCTGTAGTCTACTTTGTATATTACATCATGTCGAAGCAGCTCGCTGAGACAAATTTATTTATGTTTCTGTGTTTTCGTTTCTGATGAATAGATAATTGTTCATTATCACTAGATTTCTAATGTCTGCTGAAAATTATTTTGCGAGATCTTTAAATTTTCGGGTTTCCTATTCTTTTCTGGTTAGGACTGATTAAGTGAGAGGGCACTTTGTCTGAGCAACGAATCTCTTGGGATTGCATCCATTTTCAATGAATTTGTATTTAGTGCTAACTTTGACCTGCAGAATGCCCGAGACCTGTACCTTTTGAGATTCTTTTCTTCTTTATTTTCTGTTCAACTGACCAAGTCCAAGGGTGATGATTAGAATTTTGGCTTGTGACCCTTCTGCAAGTTTTGCATTTTGAAACAAATAGAATATTTTGCAATCTTAATACATTAGGACATGCAGGCTTATGGGCATTTTGCATCCTAGTACATAAAGAACGTTTCAGTCTCGACAAATCAATTCATAAGATAAGGACATGGCTTGTTCTATTATTTATAATTTGCCGGCAAAAGCACAATTTCTGCTCACATTTGTTGAACGGGACTCAATACAAAAGGGGTATCATGCCGGCATCAGACGTAAAGTTGGCACCAGTTCTGACGATCAAAGTACCTTGTTCTAGAAAGTATACGTTACTGCTCTTATGGACACAGCAGAAGTATTATTTGAGACTGCTAAAGACAGCAAAATTCAAAGATACGAACAGGTTTCCTTCGACGCAATCTCAGACACAACTACAAGAACTACAAGAATTGTCTTCTCCATTCCACTCTTCACTTTGTATTTGATTTCACTCTGCCATCATCTAACATAATTCCACAGTGCATGGATGCAATAAGAAAGAAGCACGCTCATTGCTACGATGTCAGTAATACAAGACCAACAAACTTTTTAGTATGCATGCATCAAAGTAATGGGGCTACCCCATCAATCAAAAGAAAATTTTACATGCTGGAACATAACCTTTTTATCAGATTTTCAGAGGGATTGAAGTTTCACTATCTTCTATTTGTAGTTTTGTACAATATGCAATGATACACATCCTAAAACAGCTTGGATTATGATCATGCAAATGAATAATTGCAGGTTTTACAATTTAAATTACAAAAACATTCTCTTATTAGTCCTACCTTAGATACAAAGAGACCAAGAATTGAGAGAACAGTATAAATTCACTAACTACAGTAGCTGGGGAGTGTATTCCAAGAAATGGGACTACGTCTACCTGCAACCAGTTTTCAACAGCTGATCCCACCACTGCACCAGCAACAAGCCCCCCTATTGTTATTACTGTAGCCTTACCTGAAAAGAGAAAAAAAAAAAAAAAAAGGGAAATGACTTCAGATATTTTCATCCAAACTGAAGTTCAAACTAATTTGAAATTTCGCACAACATATGCAGTCTAAAATATCGGCATGCTTTGGCAGAAAGGTTCATAAAATCCCAAATGGTGAACTTCCTTTTGCTTTAAAGGACTTCACAGAAAAGCCTCATTTCCACTAAGGAAAAGCTTAAAGAAGGTAGCTCAAAGAGAGAAATGAACCAAAAATTCTGACAAATCATTAGAAAGGGAAGCAGAACCAGTGTCAGCAATGTAGAATGATTATATAAGCACTAGAAAATCATCCTCTATGCATGATAGGAGGGAATTCAAAACTCTTCCAGTAATAAATTTTCACAAGCATACCCTCCATAAACTGCTGAATGAAATTAAATGACTTGAAACAATCATTAATTTGACCTGAACCATAACAACATTTGCAGTAAAATTGCCAGCATCATATATGATGTTTTCACTTGGTAACAGATTGCAGCCCCTCTCCCCCACAGAGGGTTTTGCGTCTCTTCTCTCTTACTCCCCTACTTTCCTTTGATTAAGATGAAAAAACAACATAAATAGCAACAGCTGGACTTTAATATTTAACAAAAGTAAAATATAATTAAAATTCTATTGCAAGCAATAGAACCCATATGCAAGAAATCTCATTACCTAGCTTCACGTTCTTTTTGGTCATGAAATATAGGGAAGCTCCAAAGCTACTTGCTAAAATAAGCCCAGGAACGTCAGGTCCAGCATAAGGAATCCCAGTCGATGTAGAAGCTCCATTTACATAAGTCAGAACCATAAGAGCTCCATATACACCAGCTTGAATGCCCAATTCACCTGTAGATGGTGTTTCAACTGAAACAGGTAATTTCTTAGCAGTTGTCTGCACCCACTGAGGCATTGATCCCATTCTGGGAGGATTAACAGGTTTAACATCTGCATATCGAATGCTTCTATCCACAACTTTTCCTGCTCGGCGTTGAGTTAAGCTCCGCATAAGCAACATGTCATATGCAGCCTCAACCTAAAACACAATCCATAATACTAAGAAAATAAAACTACACAGCCTTCGGAGAATTAATTCGCTCACTGGAAAAATAAATAATTCTGATAACAGAGACAACGTAGAGTTAACAATGATCCAAAAAGCAACCACTGCATACTCTTCATCTAGAAGATCTCAGTTAAGTGTGAACTTGAATAGATAAGCCACATTAAGCATCATCATTTCACTTCATTGAACAAATAACAATACTTCTTTAATCTAAAATATGGGACATGCTATCCAGGCACTATCCTAATACATAGAACAATAACAAGTGGGAAATCAAATACCATAGAGAACAATCATCAGAAATTGGCACATCAATATCAAATCTAACAATGGACACAAAGTAAAAACTAGTAGAATCTATATTTGAAAACAGAATAATTGTCAAATCTACAAATTACGCATAACAGATAAAAAAGCTAACAAGTTCAAGAAACTTTCGATAAGCCCATGCAATATCCAGGAGCCAAAATTCAAAATTTCTACACCTAAATTCATAAATATCCAAAAATTCATCATCCAAAACCTCAAATTTTACTTACACAACACTGAATTTTAACACAAATACAAATAAGCTAGTTAGTCCAACACCAAGAAAAAAATTTTCAACATTCACACAAAAAGGATTCAAATTTATCACCTAAATCTATTAAAGTCATTAAATTTCAAAACTGAAAGAAGAAACGGCAATGAATAACCTGGGCAATAGCTTCCTGGTCATCCTTGATAGAGGCAACAATCGAATTCTTGGCGCGAAGAATATCCTCAAAAGAGGCACTTTCGGAGACTCCGAGGAGCTTGAGAGCGTTCTCAACAGACATCTCGAACGGAGCCGAGTCGTCAGCTCGTGAACCGGCTCGAGAGGCTAATGTTCGCCGGAAGTGGACGATTGTTGCGGCTCTCCACGGCTCGGTCTTTGTGGGTTTTAAAGAAGAGTGGGTTTGGTTAGGGAGGTGGACCGGCGGCCTGGGGATAGGGGAGCCGGGAGTGAGACGGTTGGGCCGGACGGAGAGTGTGGCTGCAGCCATTGCGGCAAGAAATGAGAAAAGCTTTGATATTTTTCCTTTGTTTTTTTTTTTGGCAATTTTTGGACAAGAATGTAAGGTGAATTTTATCAAAGCATTGTGTGCGTCTTGCTGGTGAGTGTGTGGTCACTTGGTGGGGACCGTTGGATTGTCTGACTGACTGATTCTTGTAATATTTATAACTTCGCTCTTTTTTTTTGTTATAAAATACCAAAAATTGCTTTTATTTAATTAAAAAAATTTCAACCCAATTTTTTAAACAGAAGCAAGACACTTGAGTCAGGCCAAGGAGGAAAAATCTGTGCTAGTAATACATATAGTTACAAGACTAAAATTTGTGGCCAAGAGAGTAAGGAGTGAGCACTGTGTACACGTCTCTGTTTACCAAACAGACACTTAAACAAACAAGAGAGAGAAGGAAGCGTCATCTGTGGCAGGGTAGTCAGGCAGTTGAAAGGGCGTTACTTGACAAAAGAGGAACAGCAGCATCAGCAAAAAGACATGTTGGCTATGAGTAAATGGTTCACGCTGACACCTTTTATCTCAAACAGGTATGGTAAGAGAGTTGGGTTTTTTGCCAGAGCTGATTCTGTTGAAGCCCATGCCAATGGAGGAGACAATAGCATCAAAAGCAACGACAAGAAGAAGAAAGTTGTTGTAGTTGGCTCGGGTTGGGCTGGTCTCGGTGCTGCTAACCATCTCTGCAATCAGGTTTTTTTTTTTTTAATACTGCTTATAGAGGAGAATGTTTAAAATATTCACATGCACATGTACGTACATATACATAAACCTATAAAATCAAAATTCAATAAAAATCATGACATTAACTTCCAGCTATAGCAAATATCAAGCTTTTTCTTTCATAAGCTTACTTTTAAAGTTATTTAGTCTATTTCTAATGAGTTCTTCCAATCTAAATGATAATTTTTTAATGATAAAAATACAGTATTTATTTTTAAAAAAAAAATTACTTTGAGTTAGGACTTTATTTTATAAGCAGAATCCTTTCCATCAAAGAGATACTGTTATTTCAAAATTAGAGAATTCAAAAGATAATAGGTAATTATCATAATCTCATTCAAATAATGAGTAGTTATAACAATCCCATTAAAACCATATCACTTATCATAGAACTAAAAGTTAAGGCCATTAAAGCTAATGTTATTTTTAATTTTAAAATTAAAAAATTTTAACATTCTCCCACTTGGTCCAAACTTTTATAACACAATTATTTTTGTAACATAATAGGCTTATTCCCTATATGCTTAAACAAAAAAAATGGAATTACATGAATTATAGGGGTAATTCGTTTTATAAATAAGTATTACCTTTCATGTATTACAATGCAATTTTTCCTTTTTCTAGATAAACTTCAATGCAGATATGCTTCAATTTCCGATGTTATAACATGGAAGTTTTCTCATTCATAACACAATGTTTAATGCCAACATTATAATGTGAAGCCATCAAACTATAAAAAATACTATCATTTAAATGAATTTTGAATAAACCATCATACATTGTACCATTTCCAACAACGATTGCATTTTTGAATAAATTAAAGGATGTTCCAAAAAAAGTTAAAAGGAAAAACCCATAGGTACAAGTCTTGAAACAAAAATTAGAATTTTAGAAAAACTTGGAATGTAAAAAGTTCATTCTAAATCAAAAACAAAACCAATTGATAAAATTAGTCTATACATTTCAACAACTTCCATGCGTGAAGGCTTTCGATTTTCAGAATAGATGTTGCATTAACTCTTTGTCAGTTTCCTTAAGTTTAGAAAACTCGCATGGTTTTGGAAACATGAATTGTAGAACCAGAATCAATCCACCAAGTGTTATAAGAAACATAAATCATATTAGATTCATAACACACACAAGATATGAGATTATCTTTCTTTTCAAGTCAAACCTTCTTTTTAAGACAATTTTTCCTCATGTCTCTCTTTTTTTACAAAAGAAACATCTAGATTTGTCTTTCATTCCAATATGGGTAGATCTATTCGACTTGCTAGTTGCATTCAATTTTCTCTTTCCTTTTTTGTTAAAGGCTTGCTTATTATTTCCTATTACCAGATATGCACTTTCACCCATTTCCTGAATCAATCTTACTTCCTTTTGAACACATATGGTCAAAAGTTCATTAATTAACCATTTATCCTCATGTGTGTTATAAGATATTTTGAAAGCATTATATTGAGATGGAAGAGAGTTCAAGATAAAGTGTATTAGGAAATCATCAGAAATCTCCATCTTCAAGGACTTTAATTGAGCAACAATATCCCTCATTTACATAATGTGCTCGCGGATGCCTTTAACGCCAGTGAGCTTCATCGATGTCAAATTGCTTATTAAGGTGCTAACAAATGCTTTATCATAAGACTCAAATTGCTCATCAATAGGCTTCATTAGATCCTTGACATTCTTACAATCAAGTATCGACCCACGAATACTAGTCATAATGTGAGATTTGATAAACATCATACTTAAATGGTTTGATCGTTCCCATCGTTCATACAATGCTATTTCAACTTGAGGACTAGTACTTGTAGGCACAGTAGGCTCATCCTTAAGAAGAGCATAGTCAAAGTCAAAGCATCTTAAATGGAGAAGAACACTTTTTTTCCACCCTTTATAATTGTCACCACTCAAGTAAAGAATTTTATCATTAGAAACCATCAAAGTTTGATCAACTGCAAATAAATAAATAAGTAAATAAATATGATTACTTAATAATATATGAGGCATAAACCATCAATTATAAAGATAAGTTTACTAATGTAAGATAAATCAAAATATACATGAATCGACATGTCATCAAAATCTACTTGTGGGCAAAGATTCTAACACATAATGATTCATTAACTTTTACGATGAAACTAAAAATTATTAATATTTCTTAATACCTGTGGGCTAATTAAGAAATAAAATAATTTTTATTTCATCCTAATTAATCATGAAAATATAATAATTTTCCTGTGGGGTAAAATAATTATATAAACATGTTTAACTAGAATATGATGTCATTTAAACTTGATGTGACCCAAATAAATAATATATATTTTAATGTATATCTTATCATAATTAAGATGCTGTGACTAATATCAATTATTTAAATATATACGATCACATGACGTCACTATAATAATCAAGACAAACATAAATTAAATATCAATTAATTTATTATACTAATAATGTCTTGATCAAATAAAAATAAATAAGTAAGCTTAATTTTGACTAATTAAACTCCTTCCATGATTAATTTAGTCAAACAAATTAGATCTAGAAAACAAAATTAGATCCAAAATCAGTTTCATTTAAATTAGTTTACCTTTTCTAGGTTTATTAGGCCATTAGTTTTGAACACATAATAGTCTATTCAAATTAACAACCAATAAGTTCAAACAAAAACATAAATAGATTAGGGCCAATATCCATTTATTTCGAGCCAAACAAATTGTATAAAAGTAAACACAATATTTGTGTATTTTTGACCTAGACCAATAACATAAATATACTCAGCCCAATACTGTGTACTTTGACCCAGACTAATAGCATAAAAAGACAAAACTTAATATTCTTTATTTTGGTACAAACTATAAATCTAAAATTCTGATCTAGATTATCTAATTAAACAAACCTAGTAAAATGCATTAGGTTGTATAACAAACATGGAAATAGACCCATTTGGTGAAGTGGTCCAAGACATAAAAAAGGAAGAGTTTATGAATTTCTTTTAATTAAAAAAAAACACTCACTTTGGGGCTCAAACATATAAACAAAGCAAAAAATATTTATTTTAAAAAGTAAAATATATATGTCATATATAAGATTCAAATAATTTAAAAACATAACAAAGATATATCATAAATGCATTTGGCTCATTATTTCTGTAAATAGTTTTCTAAAATACTATTTAAAAAAATTATAAATATACAATTAGAAGTATATCTCAAATATGCTAGACATAGATTATTCTCACTCTGATACCACATGTTAAATATATTCACATGCACATATATGTACATATACATAACAATGAATAATAGTAGAAGCAGAAATAAATCAATATGAGTAAATATCAACTATTATTTGATAACAGTGCATCTTTCTTCATTGCAAATAAACCCACCAAATCAAAATTCAATAAAGATAACGACACTAACCTCCAACCATAGCAAATGTCAAGCTTCTTCTTTTATAAGCTCAACTTTAGAGTTATTTAGTCTATTTCTAATGAGTTCTTCCAACCCAAATGGTAATTTTTTAATGATGATAATACGGTATTTGTTTTTCTTTTTTTTAAAAATGACCTTGAGTTGAGACACATACGTTTATTTTATAAGCAGAATACTTTCCATCAAAGAGATCTTGTCATCTCAAAATTAGAGAATTTAAAAGATAATGGATAATTATCATAATTTCAAATAATGGGTAGTTATCGCAATTCTATTAAAACCATATCACTTATCAGTTAAGACCATTAAAGATAATATAATTTTTAATTTTAAAATTAAAAAATTCCAACAAAAAGCTTGTCTTGAAGCAACTTTTAGTTTAGTTGAAACGTCATATGAGTTGCTGATATTTTGTTTCAGGGATTTGATGTCACTGTTCTTGATGGTGGTGATGGTCTTGGCAATCCAGATAATGTCGGTATCCAAGGTAAACCAAGATGATTCTTTTTCTTTTGTTGTATTTTCAAATTGTTCCAAAATTAACTTTCATGTTGGTTGTCTTCTGCATGATCAATTTATACAATGTAAGCAAATGACAAAAACTCCATTTTCTGATTACTTTGTTCGGAGGAGATAAACTGCCATTGTCAGGTAAAAACGAAAAAGATACAACAGAAGGCACGGTTTTTCATTGATAAGGGTGGCTGCAAATGAATGTTGATGCTGAGCTTTTCACTGTGAACATCATTTCACATGAGTACTATTATCTATGGAAATATTATGGCTAAGTTAGCAGAAGTGCAAATGTTATACACAATGAACCAAAATTTTCTTTGTTCCTAACTTTGAGGCCCAAGCTGGTATAAGACTTATGGCATCTGATCAAAATACTTTCCTTAAATTTGATTCTCTATTGTGTACTGGAATGATTAATGTTGCTCCTCGATAATGATTTGTTTATCAGATTCTTTGGTTGAAGTTGAAACCTGATTTCCTGTTTGAACCCCATTTTTTTTTTGCTGGGTTAGGGTTTTGGTATCCTTATCAAAATATATTTAGCCTGGTCGATGAGTTGGGTATCAAGCCCTTCACAAGCTGGACAAGATCTGCACAGTATTCAGGAGAAGGGTTGGAGGTATTTACTATCAGTTTGCTCTATCAGTTTCTTTGCTGAACAGAGTAATCTTTCCAACTAATTTAAGAGTTGTTATAATTGCATCCTTCAATAATTTTTTGTATCTGTTTGTAACTGAACTTGCAACTAGAGAAAACTTTTCTCATCATTGTAGAAGAATGATTGATGAAATGTAATAACTCAAAGAGAAAACAATATCTCCTGGAATTATGAAGCTCGAATAAATTTGCCTTGTCTAAACAGATTTACTATCATTCTGCAGGTTGAATTTCCAGTATACCAGGAACTCTCTCAATTGCCAACTCCATTGGGAACCTTATACCACACTCAAGTATGTTCTTAGTTGCATCTCCATGTTTTATTTGTCAGTCTGCAAAGTCAACGTTTGCGTTGATTAACATTTGCAAATTGCACCATTATTTGCAGTTTGCCCGGCTCCCTTTGGTGGATAGATTAACATCACTTCCTCTGATGGCTGCAGGCAAGTAGTATGAATATGATTCATTGTCTTTCAAAAAAGTAATGGTGCTTTTCCAATGAGTGGCGATTACATGTTCCTTTGTTTTTCTAATTACAATTCTCTTCTTTTTAATTGAATACTAGACTGATTATTTTTATGTGTGCTCAGATTGTACCTGGACATTATAAATAAACTTTTATGGCAATCTTTCTTTGTTTTCTATCAATTTCCTGCCATCAACTCAGCTGCTCCTTCTTTTTGCAGTAATTGACTTTGACAACACCGATGTTGCCTGGAAAAAATATGATTCAAGTAAGGATTTACAGTAGTAGAATCCAGCATTGAATGATTAGGTGTTACTTATATTAAATGAATCAAAGATGAATTTTTCAAATGCCTTATTCAGAGGTTTAACTGGTAGTTACTGCAAGGGAGCTTTTTAAACAATTTGGATGCTCAGAGAGGCTCTATCAGGATGTTTTTGGTCCATTACTTCAAGTGGGTTTGTTTGCTCCAGCAGAGCTATGTAGTGCTGCAGCTACTCTAGGGGTGCTATATTATTTAATTCTTGCCCACCAGGTTTGATTGTTTAAATTCTTCTCTAGAAATATTTTGACCTCCGGGAAGGGATTTAATAACTATGTCAATGTGTGTTTAATTCCAGCATTGATCAAGGAAATCCATAAAAAACAGTGACAGATGAGGCTTACTGGACCCTTAATCTGCAGAGTATTTTCAGCAAAACTCGCATTCCTGTCACATGTAGTTGAAAAAATTTCCTGATCTTTGCTGAGATTCATATTTTAGTGTTCTAACTTTTGTCAATCTCAGCCCCTATTCATATCTTCTGTCCCTAACTTAACCATATGAAAATATCTCCCTTCCTCTTGCATTGTCATTCTGATCTTTTATTTGCTATTTACTCAAATTGACTCTCTAAAGTTTTATTTGATGGATGGTTGTAGAAACATTTCGATGTAGTATTTTGTCGTGGGACCACTAGGGAGAAGATTTTTGAGCCATGGGTGGAGTCTCTGAAGGCTAAAGGTTGTGAGATGCTGGAGGATAAAAAGTTGACTGATATCTTCTTCAATGAGGAAACAGGTTGCATAACTGAAGTAGTTTGTGGTAAGGAGACCTACAGTGCTGATGCAGTTATCTTGGCTGTTGGGATTGCCACACTTCAAGAAATTATCAAGAAAAGGTATGCTATTCTGGACTTTCCTTACTTAGGATTCATTTTCCTGTAATATATGCTGTAAATTTGAAACTGAAACTCCTAGTTTGAGTTTAATTTAGCTTTTAAATTACGTTGAAAGTATGCTCAGTGTCCTAATTTTTAATTTTTTTTCTTAACCAGATGGTTATCTAGGCTTTTGTATTAACTAGACTAGGTTCTGCTCTAAACCTTTCATAGAGTTTTAGAGCTTCAGTTGACCTCTGTTTTCTGCTATCCTGTTTAACTGGCAGTTGAGTACTGTTTAGTGCAGCATTGTATACACGGGAAGAGTTTCTGAAAGTTTTGAACCTGGCTGGCATAGATGTGGTTACTGTCAAGCTGCAGCTGGATAAGAAGGTGCATGTACAGCTATTCTTCTCTGTATTCTTCTTTTTTTATTCCCTTATCTTCTTTCCCACATTTGTTCATCATCTAATTGCCTAAAATTCATTACGAAAGAGAATGAAACTGAGTTTATAATAGCCACATAGGCATTTTCTTTAGTGAATTTGCTTGTTTTATTTTTATGGTCTAATTGTTTTCACTGAAAACTGGTTGTCTGCTTAGATTGTATACCCATCTATGCACTTATCTGAAATGTAGTTGCAATATGTTCTAGAGAAATTTGACTATGATTTACTAAATCAAGCAAATATTTTAAGATATATAACCTCAGGGTCCTTCAATTTGTCATCACAAATCGTTGCTGCAGAAAGCATGTAATCGGTCATTCAATCATATTGACAGCTGTGTATAAAAATCATACTAGTCATGCTACATCAAGACTGTAATTTAGCAGAGTGCTACAGTTGATACTATGTCTTGAATATACCAGGTTGCCATCCCAAATCCTAGCAATGCTTGTGCTGGATTTGATGATTTATTCGGGTGGACCTTCTTTGACTTGAACGTAATTCATGATGAGCATAAAGATGATCCAGTAACTGTAATACAAGCTGATTTTGTAAGTCTTGCATTCAAATATGGATTTTACTCTGTCATTGATATGAAAGAATTTTGAAAATTGCAAGCTTTTGTCATCGTTTGTTCTACTTTATCTTGCCATGCAGTATCATGCGAATGAGTTGTTGCCTCTGAAGGATGAGCTTGTAGTTGAAAAAGTTATGTCATATCTTTCCAAGTGCATAAAGGACCTTGAGAGTGCTGCTGTGGTGGACAAAGAAATTCGAAGGTTTCCAAAGGGATTGACTCACTTCTTTCCAGGTGAGTTTCTAAAAGCCTGTTATTGATCAGTAAATCCAAAGAACTTCAAAAACAGATCACCGGGATCATGGTAGTTACATGTATTGTAGTGTAGGAGAGGAAAAAGGAGATATGTTTCATATGATGATGCATGAAAAACCATGAATCAACTTGATCTGATCTATATATTTAGATGCTTTTGCTTTGCTCTAACTCAAAAGAATTAACACTACGCTTGTCGGCTTCTTGAAAAGGTTCGTATAAGTACATGATGCGTGGCTCTACATCTTATCCTAATTTGTTTATGGCTGGAGACTGGATTATATCACGACATGGTTCTTGGTCACAGGTTGCTTTACTGATCTCAAATTTTGATAGCATCATATATGAACAACATACGTAGTTTGAACATGTTTTCTTGTATATTTCCTTGCTTAATTGGAGAATTCGAACATGTTTTCTTATATATTTCCTTGCTTTATAGGAGAAATCTTATGTCACGGGACTTGAAGCTGCAAATCGAGTGGTGGATTATCTTGAAGTAGGGAACTTTGCCAGAATAATTCCTGTCGAGGAAGATGAGCCTCACATTGAAGCACTTCGCAACTTAAATAGAAGACTTAACGAGATTATCAGCCAAGTTCCATTGTCTGGTTATTTTCTTCACTAAGTCTAATATAATTAATGTAAACAAACTCACACATCCACACAGAAGAATGAAACTACCAATATGGCCATTATGTAAAGCTAAAAATACGTATTATTAACTTTCAATATTATCATGTTTATGAGACAAATTTCTTTTATCTTCCATGTATTGTACATAAGTTTACAAGGGCTTTCATGTTCAAATGAAGCAGGGATGGATTCATAAAATAAATCATTAAATAATCTTTTCAAGTTCAAAAGAGGATCAAGATTGCTTACAATAAACTTCAGCCTGCTTTTGATGTTCTTACCACCGGCGGCAGGACAACTGAATTGAGGTTCTTAGGATAGGGAGTCCACAAGCCAAATCCACCCTTACTCTCTCTCATACTACTACCACTTCCCTTAAACTCACTCAAACTTTTTACCCACTCTACTTTAGAAGAATGCTCCCTAGTATGTGGGTGCAAGACAAATAGTGAATTGTACTCACAATTTGGAAACATAAAGAACTTGAACAAGCCTTTTAACCTGAATACGACGTAGCCAAAGCTGAGCTGGTCTCTTGGTGTGAAGAGATTGACCTCATTGAACCACAAGCAGCTAAACAAGTTATTCAGTGCAGTGTGTTCCCTTATAATTATGGCTCCCTCAGGCACATCTGCATTTGGTTTTCATGTTAGGAACACAAAATATTAGTTGCATCAACAGAACTATAACAAAAATGTAATGCATCCTTTATCATTTCATTGCAAGGGCATGCACTTCACTACTTAAAAAGAGACAATACTTCTAAATATCGTATGAGAATACTGTCTCCCTTCATACCGCTGATAGTATTTTTCTTCAAACTCCATGGCTCCATTCCCTCATAGTAATATATCTTCATCTGCAGATCAATAAGGGGTCTGGCATATCGCTTTCTCCGCTTGTTTGCATCAGCATCCTCATATATACTCCGATGATATTTGTGCTGAGCAATAGCATAAGTATGCTTCCCACGCCATAAGTATCTGCCAATAGAAAATAATTCTCATTATCTGAATGTTTCCGCTTCGGGATAATAATTCAAACTCCATATAGCTAAGAAGAAAATAAATCAATAAGTATATCAATGTTCATCATGTAAGCTTTAATAAATCAAAAACATGAGAATATACCTAAGTATATCAATGTCCTTAATAATTCAAAAACATTAGATATATATATATATATATATATATCAATGTTTATGACGCACGCTACCCTAAAATAAAAAAGATTGTATTTCCCCTCTTTCATTTACAAAGAAAAAAATATGCAAACTGCAAAGTTCTAAATAATTCAATAACACAAGAATGTACCTTTCGAGGATGAGCAATGGATCAACTATCAGCTCCATTTTACCATCAATCCAAATGCTGTACTGTGCTTGAGGGAATAACCTGTGGGTTAAAATCTTGGGGACCTTCCCATTTCTTCTAGGCTCATCATAAGGTGGATGCTTCAATGGGATAAGACGCCATATGCCCACCCACATCCCATTATCATTATCCTTCCTGATGGTCACATTTTTTTGAATAAATTTGAGAGACACTTCATCAACAACCATCAGAAAACAGAAGAGCTTCCTAGAACGAAGACTTATATTTGATGGCTGATGTGGTACATCATATCCATCAAAAATCCCAGATGCAACCACAAACCTACATTTCTTAACATATTCGACATCCACAGGATTCATGTCAGCACCGCCATTTTGCAGAAATCCACAGTGCACCTGAAGGGAAAATTATATAATACACAACAAAATTACATTATTTTATTTTCAGCCATCTAAAAGAGGTGACAGAATATGAGAAAATTTTCACCACCAAAATATATGAAACCTGACAACTAATTAGTGGTAAAAAAATCCTTTTTATCCCAAACCATAATTCGCCTCAGTTATGATACCTATATGAATAAGAGCAGGGGACTAAAAACAAATGAAATAAGTTCTACCTTCATACTTGGCTTCAATTTAAAACTCTCTTCTCTCTGCAGCCAGCTTTGGTTACCTCCAAATAATGGGAAGGATTGAGATCCATTGTTAACTAAATCCTCTGCCTCAATATAGGTTAGATCTTTAACAATTACATCTGGTGTTCTTCCCTCTGGAATAACTATTTTGTCAGGGTCATCAGCTACCGGAATTGAACAACCTATTTGATTAATTTAGAATCAGTATCACTCATATAAAAACAGAGAGATCAGCATTTTTTTCAGAGAAAAGTCCGCATAATCTTACGATGTTGTGCTTTTGGAACAAATCCAAACACATCCAACGCGATAAATACCTTGCCCTCTTTATTACAAATAGCTGCATATGAAGGAAACAATATATTGTCTCAAACCAATGACACAGCATGGCTGCGATTTTAGATTCAAAATTTTAAATTGGACAGGACATTGTTCACTAAGCATGGATGTAACCTTGATATATGATAAGTCACGACTACATCAAGAGTTAGTGGTGAACACAAAAGCAGGAAGCAAAAGCAACTGCTGACTTATTTGAAAACTTCCTAATACAGAAAAGAACCACCTATCTCCTTCCCAGTATTTATAATTAATTAATTAATTAACTACAAAAGATGCCACTATGTCTAATATGAAACTACCAAAGCAAACATAGACAAAATTAAGGTACGGAACCTTACCTGAAAAGAATGAAAATGAAGATTGGCAAGACCAAACATGAAATAATAATACAATAAGAATAAGAAACATCCATAGAATGCCTCCTACAAGAACCAATCGAACAAAGCCCTGCTTCCAAACAATCTTCATTGGATTATCTTGTCCCAATCTCACGGAAGAAATTAAACCACCTCCATCATCTGCATCACCACAATAAAGAAATCCACAAAACTACATCTCATCAAGCAATCCCAAAACTATAATCCATAAAATGAAGCAGGTAACATATAGAAATTACCCTCCATTAAAAAGACAAATCGTAGAACATAAACTAATGCCACAATCATAACCCAGTTGTTCAACACATCGACTGATATGGAAAAATTAATAGACTTAGCTTACCTTTACCAAATGGGCGTTGATTATTACGGTCTGCTCTACGGTTTAACCGAAAAGAAACAGGCCGTTGGAGCTCACTATCCATTATTACGCCACTTCTCACCTCATCACAATCAAAAACTTGAAATATATCTATAAAAAGATGAAAAATAAACAACGAAAGTCACTAATCAAGCACCCTTTTGTTAAATCCACAAAAAAAGCTAACCTTTAACGAATGTACCTCAAATACAGATCCCAGAAAAGCATTTTAAAAGAAGGAAAAAAAAGAAGAATTTTGCGGGACAAACGTGTACGTATCAAAATATAAAACAAAACCCAGTTCCGAGAGAGAGAGAGAGAGAGAGAGAGAGTAAGAACTAAGAAGTAACTTACGGTTTGGAGTGCTGGAGACAATAGTTGTTGCCCTTTGCCAAAGTAAATAAATCAGGGAAAAAAATAAAGAGCAAATTCGGCAAACAAAAAGGTTGAAGTTCTTTTTATTCAGACTCAAATCTGGGAACAAAAAAGAAAAGAGATAAACGAATTAACACTGTTCAGTTTTCATGATTAAGAGTCCGAGAGTAACACGATAACGACACCGTTTCTATCCCATGAAGCGGGGAGGACAGTTCACCAGAGAGACAGAAGACGAGTGAAACTGTGAAAGGTCGGTGCTTCGTGCCTGCTTTGTTTCAACTTGAAGCAACTTGGGTTATGGTCTTTGCGAACTCATTCAAATTGGGTTCGCCCAAAATCGTTAAACGGCCCAATTAATTAATTCTTGGGCCCATGACCCGGCCCAAGTTTAGTCCGATCTCTTTCCTTATCCACCTTTGGCGGCTAACGGCTTGTGTCCGTTATAGTATATATTCTCTTTAAATTAAAAAAAAAAAACCTTTAATAAATCCCTCCCGATTGGGAAAAAAGGAATAGGAAAATCCTCCTTGAGGAACTGCAATCCCTAACCCTAAACCCTTGACCGAATTCTGTTCATTGACAACGCTCCCCATTTACTCAGTTTTGTTAAATTACTGATTCGGTTTCTTTCGGATTACGATCAGCCATGGACGTTGACCATTACAGCGTCCTGGGATTACCTTCCGGCGAGGAAGGAGCCAGTTTAACCCCAAAGGAAATCACCAAAGCCTATAGAGAAAAAGCCCGCGATCTGCACCCGGATAAACGCAAAGACGATCCAAACGCCCATGAAAACTTCATAAAGCTGAAATCTTCCTACGAAATCCTCATTGACGAAAAAGCCCGAAAGCTCTTCGATGATCTCCTTCGCGTGAAACGTGACCAGCAACGCCGTTTTGCTCAGCAGGACTCGAAACGGCGGAAAATGATGTCGGACTTGGAAGATAGAGAGCGTGCCTCGTTTGCTCCGGATCCCAGTGTGCAGGCTAAAGCGGAAGAGGAGAGAATTGCGAGGAAATTGAAGGAGGAGATTGCGAGGATACGTGCTATGCACGCGAATAAAGGAGCGAGTACAGGGACGGGTCCAGGTTTGAATAAAGAGACCGTGGGGAAAGAAGAGAATAATGGGGCCGGAGGCGGTATGGGGTTGAATAAAGAGATGATTTTGAAGGTTTCTTGGGAGAAAATTGGGGAGGATTATACAGCACAGAAGTTAAGGGAATTGTTTTCCAGGTTTGGGGAAGTTGAGGATATTGTAATCAAAAGTTCCAAGAAAAAAGGGTCTGCTCTTGTTGTCATGGCTACTAAGGAGGCAGCTGTAAGTTATGTTCTTTTGTGTGATTTTATTATTTATTTATTTTGTGTTATTTTCTTAATTTTTCCCTTTTTTTTTTTTACTTTGTAGATTGCTGCTACAGGAAGTGTTAGTGGGAGTCTATCCAATCCATTGCTTGTTGTCCCTCTTAAACCAGCCGTTGTCTCAGATTTTCGAGCTCCACAGAAAGCCGAGGAAACTGATCTTTCCAGTAATTTGGTTGGGGCTGGTTACCAAGCTTTTGAAGATGCTGTTTTTCAGAAACTGACGAAGGTATGAACTTGTCGCCATATTTTTCATTCTGTGTTGTCGGTAGTTTGGAGATTAATTCTTAATATCGCAATTCCTTTTCCTCTTTAGTCTATACTTTTGTTGCACGTGCATATATTATCAGATTTTGTGAGCAAAATGTTAAGTTTGGTGACTAAACTAGATATTCATTTAGAACATTTGTTTTACCAAAGTAGTAGATCAGAGTAAATTGACACTTGCTGTTGTGGAGTGAGGATGGGTACTCTCGCTGTCCTGGTGCAGTGATATATAGTTTTATTGGCAAGAGAGTAAATTGACACTTGCCGTTGTGGAGTGAGGATGGGTACTCTCGCTGTCCTGGTGCAGTGATATATAGTTTTATTGGCAAGAGATCTTGATTTTGCTGTAGTATTTGCTATTTTGCTATATATTTGCCTGTTGGGCCACACATAAAGGATTCTAAAGTAACTAAATTAGCAGCACAGAAAATATAAGGACAGCTGATGGGAATTGCTTGTGTAAGGAAGTGTTGTAAGAGAAACCAAGTAACTATATGTATTACTAGAAATGAAGAATTTCCACGTGTTCATATTCTCCAGGAATTTTTTCCCCACTGATCTCAGTTTCATTTTAGTTTTTTTGTCCATTCTTGGTGTAGTTTGTGTTCTCTTGGCTGTTAACTTTTGTTAGTAAGTCATGTCTTTGGTTTATTCTGAACCAACCCCCCCCTTCCCTCTCACCTTTCCCTTTTCCTGCCCAAGTAATATCCTATATTGATTGTTTGAGGATATTTGGTGTAAAATGGATATTATGGGTAGGAAATTTAATATGGTTTTAGCTTTCTTTTTTTTTCTCTCTCTCTCTAGTGGGTTGGGGAGTTAAAGTCTTGAATGGAGTTTGAACTAGCCATTAGCAATTAATTATATTGTCAACTAGTATATTTTTGCCAGTGTAAGTATTGGATATTATAGTACGGAAAGAAAGCTATGCATTGTAGACTTTTTCAAATCTTCTATGGGTAGCAATTGTGTGATCTAGCTGTTTCACATGATTAAAATGTGGTTGTAAATTGCATCTGTCAAGGATTAGTGTGGGATACTATGTGTTATATCCTGTTTAAATGAATTATTTGGTCATTTTTGTACTAGTAGCATTTTTAATGTTTCTGATGTACGTGTAATTTGAAATTATCATGTGTTTAATTTAACAATCTGTTTCCTTGTTCCTGTATATTTCTCTCTATGCCTCATATTTAATTCTGAACAGGCTGCTGAAAAACAACAAAAATGACTAATCAAATGCGTTGAGGAAGAGAGTTTCAAATGCATCAGTGGCTTATGATCCTCAGAAATTCTATGTAAAGGTACTTCAGGAAACACATGACCCATGTGTTGTCATTTTATTTTCATTTGCGAATAAGGGAGGGTTAGTGTTTATGTTTATTAGTTACTGGCAATCATATTTCAGCTACATGTGCACAAATCCCAGTCAAGCTCGTGATTCACCTGACAATGGTGCTTTGATGGGAGCACAGTTGTTATTAGGGGCTCTGGATGACTCCTTTCCTTGATTCAAAGTTCACATTCATATCAATCAGCTGCTGAATCGTGAATTCTTGGACCCTAGGACGAACAGATTAACAGTCATCGTGGATAATCACATTGTAGAAAAATGTTCCAGTGTCTTCTTTCAACATTATGCATAACTTTTAAGTGCGAAGGGTTGGCATTGGAGTTTGTGTTACCTGTTAACTTTTCAACTCCAAGCTTCGATGATTAGCGCCTGTACTTCTTTTATCTAGCTCAAGTCCAAGATTTATTTCTAATTGAATTTCTGGCAACTAGATTAATAAATGTATATAGTTTAAAGCCTGTTAAATTTATGAGAATCATTCTTGTCTTGGTACATATAGTAGTCATACAGGATAGAAAAAAAAAAAAACCTTTATTATGTTATCAAGTTGCGACAAAGTTGTTGGCAAACCGGTTACAAGAACAATGATATTAGTGCAAAGATTATGATTCTGCAAGGCTAAAGCCCCAAAATTACATACCAATCAGAGTCTACAATTCAAGCATGTTTGATGGTTTGCGCAATACGTCCAAGTCCCAGCAATTGCTAAGCATAACTCGTAATCTTCCTCTTGTTACCTCCTTTCTTCTCTGCTATTTGTCAACCAATATCTCTCAACTTGTCCAAACTCTTCCCAAATCCCTCAACCAGAAATGCAAAAATCCAACAGGGTACTATATATATTTGAAATTAAGAACAGTCGTTGCCTAGCAAGTTAAAAAATGCAGAAATACCCTGTCATTATCAAGGTTGAGGTCTTCGTTATATTGGCAGTCTGCTCTCTTGTTGTGGGGATCAGTGTTCTTATGGTCCATTTCATTGATTTCACGTTTTAACCAGTACCTGGCACGATTGAATCTTGAATTGCTTGAGACTTGAAGTGGTGGATAAGCACTGATCCTGGATTGTTGCACCGTTATAGAAATACTCCAATGGTCTTCTATTCTTAATAATTATGTTGTCTTCCATGGTTACGGGTATATGTTTTCAGAGCAAAAGGCTGTGTCAACTGTTTAACTCTTTCGACTTCAAATTAGCTTTTACTTTCAGATTTTTGCTGGGAATTTCCTGCTTCATAGATGTAATAGTAATTCTATGGCATGATTCATTGATAAAATGGATTATTTTTCCCATTCAAAGAAAGAGAAGTGGCGTTGATAGCAGCAAAGGCAAAGCGCAACTCTGATTCCTTTGCTACATATAATAGTAATGTCTATTCTGTCCAAGGAAACAGTAACATGCATTACATAATCAACACTTAGGGAAGCAGAGCCTCCCCTTTTGTTTCTCTTCCAATGTAACAGCTGCAACTACTGCATGCTAGGATATATAATTACTCATGCATCAACAACTGGTTTTAGAGTCTCGTCGACTTTCATAAATCGGAATGGTCATCCATACTCGCTGAGAACTAGACGTCGTTCACCAAAACCAGATGAATACACTCCTAAATCTTTGCAGAATCACAGCCCGGATGTCAAAAGGCAATTTTGTAGGGGTAACCGCCAAACGCCTTAATCTGATGAAACCGACTGGACAAAGCCTGTGGATCACCTTCTCCCACCAGTTGTCACAAACCATTAATGTCCTCTTGACTCTTCATATATAGCTGTCCAGCTTCCACAAATGACTGGTTACAAAGGACGAATTTTTCTGAAAATCGAACTTGATACGAATACAATACCATTGTTTATGTTCATAGGAGCAAGAGTCACAGAAACGCCATAGCTTAGTGCCCATTTTTCTTGGACAACATCATACGGGGCAGGTTTGCTGCTATCTGCCTCTGCCTAGAGCTAACCCGCCACCACCAAAACCCCCAGCTGATAGCTGGAGATGATTTTTATCAGAACACAAAGAGAAGAAGCAACAGAATAGCTATGTTTTGGTCTTCTATTAACATTGCTGTTATTGTAGATTTTTGGATGCCGGTTGTCTCAACTTCAGTTCAATTTAATAGAGGTCAGGAATAATGTGTCTCAATACTTTTGGTAGCATGTCAAATTTATGCATGCTTAAACGTTGGAAATTCTTGCTTCACACATTGCTATAACTTCTCTTCCCACCTCGAAAAACCAAAACAGTCAGATAATGGAGCAAGAAGTTAAACTTATTTCTGGTTCAATCTGTCAAACATATTACTCATACATTTCATGCATTCAGACTATACACCCTTCGTTGAATGATGCTCAGTACTTCAAACTACTTGATTGTTATAATTGACATAATATTTAGGATTTTATTTCCATTCCCATGTGATTAATTAACCTAGTCATGTTTTTTTTCTTTCTTGGGTATATCCAGTCCTGTGTACATAGCCATTACTATTATACCTGCAGTAAAACACAAGAGAGAAACATATCATTCTTCTTCAAACATTTTCTTTCATAGTTCATTATTATTATTATCAAAGGGTAAAAGAACAAAAACAAAGGAAAACAAATCGAAAATAGTAGTAATTTCCGAGGCAAATGGCCGGATGTGGACCACGTTGCAAGGCCCGAACCTTATGTGTATGCCTAGCTTGTAAGATGATTTGAATGCTGACTGATGCAATGTTGAATCAATGCCTGTCTGGCAGCTTTGATTTAGAAATGACAACCACTCGTTGCCCATATCTAATATGGGGATTTCGTCACTTTGACATTAATCGTATAGAAAACAAAATTTTCAATGGCAATACGACAATAGATATATCGTCAATATAAAAATACAGTCCTGATATGATTATGTCCATCATACCAGCTGATTGCAGTCGTGCTTATTCATGACTGGTGTCCTGATACAAGTCAGGATCCAGGCAAGGCAGGTTTTGAAATTTTTCTTGAAGGCAACGCGTGTCAGGATTGAATTGGGTGTAAATTTAAATTTTTTTTAATCAAGAAAAATGAATTTATTACTTTTATAAAAAAATCATATACTAATTAATAAATTAAATGTTCGAAAATGTAAATTTCATACCGACTAATACTTTCGAGTTTGGAAAGAAATTCATGTAATTATATATGGCCATTAAATATTCAAAATGGTGGATTTGGAAACAAAGAGGTTAGAACCGAGAAGGACTGAAGATGACACAACCTAAAAATAACATTCAAATATGTTGTGGAATAGATTATAACCAAATGCGAAGTTTCATTGTAATAACGCGAGGGTCAGCTCATATTTCAGTTGCCATGTTAGCAAATCCCTTGTCAAGCTTCCTCTGCTGTGTGATATGACGTTGGATGGTCCCATTGCCTTGATTTGAAGTACAATGTATATATATATATGATTGAAAATCTTAATTTGTTTTCTTTTTTTTTATAATGATAAGATTGAACCTTGACTAGTTGGATTTTTGCACTTCCTTTGGATATTTGTATCAACTATCAACTCTTTCAACTCCAAAGTTAATTCTAAGTAGTGTTTAGTTTTCGATTTTTTTTACTATATGAATATGAAGCTTCCTAATTGATGCTTAGAAGTAATATATATGTTATTATTCATTAATAGAATGGTTATTTTCCTCGTTGAAAGATAGAATTTAATTATAGGGACATATATAGACACAGAAAAAGGTAGCAGCTAAGGCAAATGCCAAGCGCTTTTCCTTTCAGTAGGTAGATATATACTTCGTCCAATGCAACAATAATATTGCATTACATGATCAACAGAAAAGGGAAACAGAGCCTCTCCTTTTGTTTGCAGTAATTGCTCATGGACAACTTGTTTTAGAACCTCATCGTCAGCTTTGACAAAGACAAAAGGCCATCCGTTGTCTTTAAGAACTAGGCGTAGCTGGGAGTCAAAACCAGATGAATATTTTCCGATCTCCTTGCATAAATATTGTTCGCATGAGTCACACACTGAAGGACAGTTCGCAAGTTTATAGAATACGCCGCCCTTAAATCCTAAACAGGCTGGACAGAGCATCTGGGTCACCTTCCATCCCACCAGGTGTGACGAATCAATGTCCCCTTGATTCGTCATAGCTGTCCATCATCCACACTGTTGATTCGGAACAAGCTGTTGGTCCGGGAGGGATGAACTTGATGTTAAGGTCAGTTGATTCGCGGATAACACCGTCGTCCTTGGTGTCCACCGGAGAAAATATCACTGGAATGCCTTGACGCAGGTCTAACCTTTCTTGGATAACATCATATGGGCAGGTTTGGTTTCTACCTTTGCCTAGATATAACCCGCCAGCACCAGCACCAGCACCCGCTATTGCTGACACGACGTAATATTGAAGGCCTGGGCGAGCTCATCACCATGGACATCATAGACTGGATCATTTTCATCAGCTGCAGAGGATTTTGACGAGAAAACAGAGAGAAGGAGCAAAAGCATAGCTAACGTGGTCTTCATCATTAACAGTATTGAGAAGCAGCTAGCTCTGATGGATCTGGATGTCGGTTGTCTCTAGTCAGCTCAATTTATAAGAGGTTGGGACGTGATCCCTACTCAATCATGCATGGCTTTTTCTCTACTAAAATAATGTCATGCATGGTGATTCAAACGTGGCTAAAATTTGTTTCACACATTTCCATAACAACTCTTTTTAATAATTATCTTTTGTTTAAAAGGCCGAAATATTTATATAAGGGAGCGTCGGGCAATTTCTCATTTAAGAAGTATTAAACAATATTTTTTTTTTATAAAGGTTGATTAATTGTTGGAATAGGCATAAATTAGGAATTCTTCATCCATTCCCATGCAATATTCTGGTCATATTATATAAATATATATGTTATATGTATTTTTGATACATCATCGATTTGGTGATTTATATTTGCAAAATAAATCATTATATAGAAATATATGATTCGTCGAAAATATTTTTATATAGTTCATAATCAAAAGGCAGAAGAGAAAAAATGTTAAAAATCGTAATAAATAATAATTAAGGTTATGTTTGGT